ACTGTATTTTTTAAAATATTTATTTTATAACTAGTTATGTATATATAAAATAGCGGTTTTGGCTGAATGTGGCCGAATTGGGTGATCTGTCGTAGGGGGTGATCCGTCGTGTGGGGTGGGGTCTTACCTCCCAGGCAAGGGCAAGACACTAGGCTCTCAGCCCGTACAAAGCAGCGTAGCATTGCCATGGATATGATTGGTTTCATCAGCCTTACCACTGAGGAAAGGGAACTGCATCGACAATTGTCGCCTCTTCCCATCCTCTATTCTCACTGCTCAGCGTGTGCAGTTGGCATGGGCCATACCCAACTTCTTCCAGCCACCAGCGATCAACGCACGTGTGCTCCCAAGAGCAAGTCGGGGCAGGACCGACAACACATGGACTTTGCACTGTTGCTCCGGCAAAAACCTGCCGTAGGAAAACAGCGCAAATTGACAATGCGCCGGCCGCACTCCCCCGCGTTTACTGCTTCACGCTTCTCCGAACCCGCCTTCTCATCTAGACAAGTGACTCTGGCCTGTTGCCAACTTGCCAAGGGGGGAACGGCCCATCACCACTTGGCAACGACAGGGGATTAAGCTGACTGCAGGAACAAAGCTTGCTGTGCCTTGCAGCTGAGACCAGACCTCTCTTCCCGGGCAAAATGTGAGGCCATTTCTGAGGAACATGGAACATTTCCAGCGCTACTGCCATTGCTTATTCTGATCCGTTAGGGTGGAAAGCCCCGTGCGCACCCTCGCCGTGCTGCCATCTATTGGCATCAGTTCATTGAGAACGGCCTTGTTGTTCAGACCTTCAGCCCAGTCCAGCCCTGTACCTCCAAATCTTCGATGCACTGAACGCTCACAGAATGTGTGGTTTTCTGGCATACTCTCTGGCCATTACAAGGCAGGCAATCTACTATCTGTTTCAGATCGCTACCGCATTCGTTACGGTCATCTTACCTCACACGCTTGTTTATCACCCCACTCATCTCTCACTTCTCGAACGTAGCTGCACCTCACCGCTGATCACAACCCCCCTTTTCTTCTCAAGTGGAAAGTCTTGCAAATTTAGAGGAACCAATGAGACTAGTTACTATCGTTAAAAGTCTTATTGCATCATGCATCGACTCTTATACATCACCGTGCCGCGGTGAGACAAAGCAGGGCAAGGTTCTGGCTCTCAAGGTGATCCATCTCATACCCTCATCCGCTTCCAAATCGTTGCGAGGGACTCACAGCATATAATGCGCTAGACTCTCATAAGCCATGGAAAATGAGCAGGCGTCTGTTCTTGATGTCCCTAATGAATCTGAAAGTGAATCAGATCTGGAAACTACGCTTTATGTATTATTATCCCTGCCGCGTCAGCGGCGCAGTATTACCATCTACCAATGTCTCTGTCAAGGGTGGGTATGAGTTGTCGCATCCTGTACCCCAATAGGACCTGTAATAAGGAACGTCCTCTATAATCTCCAAACTTTCTTGCACTGGGCTGTCCAGCAGCGAGGTAATCCTGCCTCAAGGTCAGACGGATGCCTACTGTGACCCGAATCCTTTTCTGCCTATTTACGGCGCACTCACGCTGACGGGTCGCATTAGCCAGGCATCCGCGAAAAGGCACATCAGTCGATGGATTGACACTTCGCGCACTGACCAAAAAAGCCGTTCGGACTCATAAAGAATCGCTCCTTTTGAGATGAACGACGTGGCTTGAAATCGCCACATTTACTTTCTTTCCCTGTAAATTAATTGGCTTACATGACTTGGTCTCGGATTGTTGTTGAAAGTTGTTAAGTTGATGTCCTTGAACAAGCTACATTATTGGACTTACTCATCAATTCCAAAAGCCGATCAAGTGTCAGCGTTACCACCCTCTCATTAATGAATCCTGGAGGAGAAATGGAACTCACCTTTGTATCAAGAGCGATGAAGGCAACTCTGAAGTCATTTCTATAAACACTCGGTTTCCTCGAAGTGTCATACTGTCGGATTGGAAGTCCAATTCGACCTCGGCATACGGCCGACCGCGCAGGGGCCAATTACGGCCCCTACTTCCGATTATCGCAGCCTACCCAATCTACGGTTAGAACCTCCTTTTTACACCTACGCAGAAATTCATATAGTTCAATTGATCTCTTCGTCAACCCACGGTTCGAACCAATTAACCTGTAATAGGGATACCAACACATACGCGTGAGCAGGCTAATCTCTACTAGAAGCTAAGCGTCGATTAGCTGGTATTTGACCAGGCTCCGTGTTTGTAAATAGATAACACCTGATTCCATTCACAATTTGTCTTTAACTATGTTCGGATAACTGTAGCATTGGAAAGATGACAAAGACCCAAAGCCTCTAAAGATAGCAGCGAGAGCCCAAGATAGCATCTTCATCTTTAAACGGGTTACTGTAAAACATCGACTTACAAAATCAATGCCTCGATGCTTTGATGAGATTCGAGTAGGGAACTCCTTTGAAGGTCAAAAAGTAGGCTAAAATGAGGTCGGAGCTTGGGGCGACATCTGAAGCCTTGGGCCCTAACTTTCGCCCGCCGGTTTCCGCCATCTGTTGCATGTATCGCAGCATCTCAGGGGCCTCCTGTCAAGCCGTAACCGCGAATACATATGAAGCTTTGTTTTATTCAAATATGAGTGAAATCTGAACGTGTGACGCTACCAATGTCTGTGATACTTCACGGAGAATGAGCACGACGATTTTCAGTTGGCCACTGGCGTTGAAGTCATCTAAGCCAATGAATTTAAAAGTGACCGTCAGAAGAGTAGTGAGAGCACTGAGTCAGTCTTGTCAAACGATTCAGACCGTAAGAAAGCTTTGGAAATAGTTCACTACCATCGTGGCGCGACAGGGTAAAGTGGAAGTTGGTGCGGGGCAGTAATGTCCATATTTGACTTGATTGAGATTCGACTTTACGGCAGTTTGACATGAAACATGATGACAGCTTCTTCAGCGTGAGTTACAAGGAAAGTAACTTCACATGTAGTCATCTGCAATCCGTCATAAGAAAAGAGCTGAAGCTACTGTTGTTTAATACGAAAAGGTAAAAGCTCCAGTCTGTAAAGTGTTAGCAGACAGACTGAGAAACCGCTTTTAAACCCCCGCATCCTTAATCTGACGTTAAATGCACGAATCGAATAGGGCATAAGATATAGCAATTATAAGTCATATTGTCGTGAAGCCTCTCAAGTTTCGCAAGTCAGTGAAGCAGACTGCAGTCGCAGTCGCAGACCTTCGAAATCACACACAGGCTGGGATCGAATGTTGGTTCTTGAAGGACTCGGCCAAGACTTTAGTTCGAGGCAGCAAGTGACTAGAAGGCTTGCCCCTTGACTAACTACTGCGATAATTGGCTCACTTGAACGAATCTCACTTATCTAACATGCAGTCAGCACAAACAACTTCAAGGTAAGGTACTGGCAACCGAGAGATTCCACTCAGAGAGGGGGCGAAAGGAATTTCGAGAGCTACCCTGCCTCTTGGCTCTCGCTTTCCATGGGCCAGTTTCGTTAACCAGGTTGAATGATTGTCAGCTTAGTAGAGGTCTGCGAAGACAACCATCAGCGGTTACAACGCTGCTTCTCAAAAAGGCAGGTGACGTCCGAACTTTCATTTCTACGTGATCCTTCCGAAGCCTTGAATCAAAGTTGCACTCATGCCTTCTATGATAAGTAGAATCGTGCCATGTGAATCTCATGCTTGTCAAGATGTATTATTATCATATAAGTGAACCGCACCCAATCGGATTTGCATGTTCAATCTTTGTCAGACTTGCCCTACCATGGAACCCGAACAGGATTCGATAGCATATCCGCAAGTAAGCCCCGGTAACATAATTTCTGGTCTCGGGTGGCAGTTTAGTGAAAGATGCTCATTAGGGAAGGGCCATCTTCATGATGAACGCAAGACTGGTGATGAATGTAGGTTCTATGTTGTGTAGTTGATTCATTGAGACACAGTCCTAAATCAACATGCGAAACTCGCCTTTCCGTGAAATGAGAGCCGAGTAACGAGAACGTAATCTCACCGCATAAATCAGGCCATTGGATGTCAATCCTAGTTTGACTGTACCACCTTCCCCGCTTCATGGACCCTAAGGAAAGAATTGGTGCATACCGTGAGCGGATAATCCCGAAGGATCATCATCCTCAGCTGGGAAAGCATTTAGGGTCTCATTATTGATCCAAAGTCCCATATTTGACAGCCTAATCAGATGTTAGATTACTTTGAACGAGCTTGGCATAAGATGCGCTAGAACCAGTCTTCTTATTCATGGATCTTCGAAAGACGTAGCCTCATTCAGAGCTCAATCTAGGCTCGATTGCAGCATTGGCATTGCTTGAAAGCGGCACAGTAGACTTGGAATATCGCAACGGGCTACCGATTACGTCTTGGCTGTAGCCTTCGAATATTCCCTGTTCGGAAGCTAGCATTTACGTGCACCTTACGAGAAACATGCAATCGCTTGCCTAGAACTCCAAGCTCGCTGCTACGGTTCATGAGAACTCTATAAAAGAGCAGATACCTGTCATGTCTTGACTAGCACCAGTCCATCAACAGCTTCGACTTGTCGGAATCAGAGTCTGCACCTGCGAAATCAATTTATTCCAACATGGTTCACTTCACAAAGTCTGCGGCTGCAGCCGTCCTCACCTTCTGCTCTGCCATCCAAGCTAGCCCAGCAGCTCCTCTAGACACTAGGCAAACCGAGCAAGCAGAAATCAATCACCCAATCGGCTTCGACGCCGCTGCTGCTCGCCGTGTTCCAGCCGATGCTCCAGTTCCCAAGATTGCTATTGTTGACGCCGCGGAAATCACCGGCAATATTACCGAGGCATCTCCTTTCACACCTTCTGGTGCCGCCCTCGAGGAGGTCACCAAGCGCTTCATCGTCGGCGTAGATAACCGTCACCTCTGGACTGACCCCAATTACCCTTTCCACTCCGTCGGAAAGCTTCAGTGGTCTAACGGAGTCTTCTGTTCCGCTGCCTTAATCGGCCCTCGTCACATCCTCTCTGCCAAGCACTGCAACCCCGATCCTCCTATACCGGGATCTTTCTACCCCGGCTTCGACAATGGAGCCCGCTTTGGCTCTGCCCAAATCACCAACGGTCTCTTCACCTATGGCCAAGAACCCTTCTCCCCTTGTGAAACCAAGGGTGACTGGGTAGTCTATGCTCTCGACCAGCGCCTCGGTGATCAACTCGGTTATTTCGGAGCGAAGGTGCCTGACCGCAACATGTTTGACAAGCCTCAGTTCTTCCACATGGGCTACCCTGGTGACAAGGACGGTGGTAACCGTCCCTACCGACAGACCGACATCACGGTTCACTCCAAGAGAACCTTTGACTGCGACTCAACTGGCCCCTTCTACACTGACACAGATACCATGGGAGGCCAGTCCGGTGGCCCTCACTGGGAACTCGATGGCAATGGAAACCGATGGATCTGGGGTGCCCTCTCCATCAGTGTCACGAGTTCTGCCGAGACTTACGCTGGCTGGGCTTCTGGCAGTTCTATGATAGACGGCATTCTCAAGATGCGAGCTGACTTTCCTTAGAGACGCAGAGATTAGTGACTGG